GCGCCAACAGCACCTCCAGCTCCAGTACCTCCAGCAGCACCAGCAGTACCCGCAGCAGGACCACCGCCAGGAAGGACAGCAGCAGTCTCAGCACCAACACCCGCAGCAGCTCCAGCTCCAGGCGGACCCGAGGGCCCAGCAGCTCCGGGACCAGCGGCACAAGTACCCTCAGCAGCCGAAGGAGCTCCAGCTCCAGCAGTACGTCTCCAGCGGCGAGCAAACCACTCGCGCAGCTCCTGTGGAGAGAGGGGCTCCCGCCGAGGCGAAGCACCCGGAGAACCGCCAGGTCCCGCACCGCCAGACGCCACAAGGGGAGGTCCAGTGGCCGCAGGCTCCGCAGCTCCAGGCTCAGTAGCTCCAGACGCAGCACCCCCTGGCTCAGCACCCCCAGTCACAGCACCCCCAGGCTCAGCACCCCCAGACTCCGCACCCCCAGGCTCAGCACCCCCAGTCGCAGTACCCCCAGGCTCAGCACCCCCAGACTCAGCACCCCCAGGCTCAGCACCCACGCTCGTAGCACCCCCAGAGTCAGCACCCCCAGGCTCAGCACCCGCAGCAGGACCAGAGTCACCAGCAACCTCGACCGGCTCGACTGCGTCTACCTGGGACACACCTGAAGGGGCAGGACCCTGAGGGGGAAGGGGGTCTACCGGGGGGGGACCTGGCACAAGGAAGTGCGGTGGCGGGGGGAGGGAAGGAGTGCGGTAGGGGAAGAGGCGGTAGAAGGGGACTGACTCGTCGAACGTGACGTCCTGGGAGGACAGAACACGACGAGAGGAGGGGTGGTAGAACTGCCACCCTGGGGCGTCAGGGGGGAAGCCGAGGAAGACACAGGGAGCAGCACGAGGGGACAGCTTGTCCGCAGACAAGTCGCGGACAAACGCCCGAGATCCCCAGACACGGAACGCAGACGCATCGCCGACCTTCCCCGTCCACAGCAGAGCTGGGGAGGTCTCCGGCCGGGAGACCCTGGGGTGAAGGTTGATCTGATGCGCCGCGTACCGAACCGCAAACGGCCACAGAAAATGGGGGGCAGCCGCATGCATCATGGACGTACGAGCGACGTCCATGACCATGCCAATGCGGCGCTCAGCAATCCCATTTTGCTGTGGAGAGTCCGGAAGCGTAAAGGTCTGGCGGATGCCTCGTGCACGACAGTAGGCTCGCAGAAGGCCAGAGGAGAACTCTCCACCTCGGTCAGAGTGCAGACGCAGAACAGGAAAGTCCGAGCCGAAGCTCCTCCTGAGCTGGAGACGAGCTGCGCGGATCCAGTCGATCAACACCTCAGTGACATCACCCTTGCTGCGCAAGGGGAAGACTGTGGTGTAACGCGAGTAGTCGTCAACCACCAGCAGGAAGTAGCGCTCGTGACCCTGCCCACGGACGCGGGCCGGGCCCCACACGTCCATGTGAAGCGTCTGCAGAGGAGCCTCTGTCGGGGGAAACTGGGAGGAGTGAGGGGCAGCCCGGAGCCGCCCCTCGACACAGGGGACACAGGAAGGTCCGGGTCCCGAAGGAAGGGGAGGGAGAGACCGGGGAAGACCAGAGACAAGGACACGGGAAGCCATGCCCCGAAGACGAGGCAAGGAGGGGTGGCCAAGACGGTGGTGCCACAGGAGAGTCTCCTGAGACAGGCGGCGACACGAGCAGGGGGCAGACTCAGGACCAGACCTGGACGCAGCAGCAAACACCTGACCCGACGCAGCTACCTGGCCAGACGCAGGGACAGGAGGAGACTCAGTGGTCAGGGTGTAGAGACTCGACCCCGGCCGACGCGAAAACGTGGCCAGGTGTCGGCCTGTGCGGGCGTCCGAGCAGTGGGTCACCCGCTGACTCGCAGGAGTAAACTGGTGAACCCCCGCATCCTGCAGGTCAGCACCACTCACCAAGTTCGTCGAGAACGAGGGGAGGTACAGACCAGACAAGGTGCCCGAGGGGGCAGCCGGACACGGGAGGACAGTGGAGAAGTGAGAGAGGACAGGACCCCCAGAGGGGTCAGCCAGGGAGACTGCAACCGGCCGGCCAAGCGGCGTGAGTGTGTTGCGGTCTCGAAAGAAGGAGCGAGAAGCCCCTGAGTCAAGCGTGAAGGTGAGGGAGGCCGAAGCCGACGCAGTGCCTGAGAGCGCAGCCTCACCAGTACCTGAGAGTGCAGACGCACTGGCACCTAGAGCAGCAGCCGCAGAAGTACCTGGCGCAGCAGTACCAATGCCCGGGTCGGGCAGGAAACACCGGTAACAGTCACCCTCCTCACTAATAGTCACAGCATACATGGCAGCAAGGATAGCATCAAAGTCAAGATCAAAGATAGCTACGCCAGCCCTAGACAGCTCTCCCCAACGGGGAATCTCACTGGCCTCGGGGAACTGCTGACGCCAAGCGTCCGTCAGGCGGCCAAAGCAGCGCTGGGTGGGGTGGGCACCCCCACACTGCTCACCCGCGCGGTCGCCGGAACGAAGGACGTAGGTGCACGGACCAAAACCCCCACCCCGCTGACGCTGCGTGTACCACTCACGGAGCTGCTGGGGCGGGGGGATGTCCCGCGAACGCTGCTGCTGCTGCTGACGCTGGCCACCACCAGAGCCGCTACGCTGCGGGGCACCACCCCGACCAGCTCCACCCCCTCCGCCACCGCCGCCTCCACCTCCACCACCACCGCTGCCTCCGCTCCCACCGCTGCCGCCACCACCGCCTCCTCCTCCGCTGCTGCCACCGCCACCACCGCCCCCGCCACCACTCCCACCGCCACCCCCACTCCCTCCGCCGCCTCCACCGCCACCTCCACCGCCCCCGCCAGTTCCACCCGCGCCCTTGCCCCCCTTGCCCCTGCCAGGGCGGCGTCTCCCGCTAGGGGCAGACGCCGCGCAGACCGACTCAAGACCAAGCAGGTCGGCAGCAGCAGCAGAGGCAACAGAGGGCAGCAGGGGGGAAGGAGAACACCCCTCAAAGATGGGGGTGCGAGGGTCACCACGAGAGGCTCCTACAGCGACGATGCTCTTCTCCGCCGCCAGGAGGGACTTCTCGAGGAGGTCGACAGTGAGAGTGGTGGGACAGACTGAGAGGAAGTGGTCCCTGACTACGCGAAGGGAGTCAGGGAGGCGTGTGACTATGTAATAGAGAGTGATGTACATGGGGGGGGGGTTCTTGGCGCAGAACTCAGCAGGAAGGGCGGCGCGGTAGCGAGTGTCACTAGTGCGGAGGTGCGTAATGAGGTCAGCGACAGTGGGAAAGGCAGTAAGGTCAGGAAAGAGGTACGGTAGCATGAGGCGGCTCAGGGCAGCAGTGGCAGGGGAAGAGTAGCGCGCAACTACAGCGTCGTACAAGGTCTGAGCACTCTTGTACTGACTAAAGTGCGCGCGCTCAGTGGTAGGCAGGTGGCGACGCACAGCAAGACGTGCAGCAGCATCGCGGGTGGCCCACTGAGAGCGAACAGTGGGGTCAGCATCAGCAGCAGGGGCAGGAGAGGCGCCAGAGGTGAGGTCAAAGAGGGAAAGACCGTCCGCCCTATCGCACTGTAAGAACAGCTGCAGGTCGTCGACCCAGACCTCAAAGTCAATGGCTCGACCCTCAGCGTCAAAAGCGAGGACACTAGGGGTAGCCATGACGACGACAGTGTAGTAGTGCAAGCAGTAGGGGAAGGGCACGCAGTAACAGTGGTGCTGTGCTCACCAGGCAGGGCATGTCGGGCGGCTCGGCAGTAGGGCGACCCGGCAGCTGGGCGGCTCGGCGGCTCGGCTGCTGGGCGGCTCGGCTCCCGGGCGGCTCGGCGGCAGGGCGGCTCGGCGGCAGGGCGGCTCGGCGGCAGGGCGGCTCGGCGGCTCGGCTCCCGGGCGGCTCGGCGGCAGGGCGGCTCGGCGGCAGGGCGGCTCGGCTCCCGGGCGGCTCGGCTGCAGGGCGGCTCGACGGCTGGGCGGCTCGGCTGCTCTGTTGCTGGGCGGCTCGGCTGCGCTGCTGCTGGGCGGCTCGGCCGCTGTAGAGGAGTGGCGGGGCCGCTGCAGAGAAGGGCGGTGGGGCCACTTGATAGGGCGGCGGGGCCGCTGATGGGGCGGCGGGGCCGCGAGGAAGGGCGGCGGGGCCGCTAGATAGGGCGGCGGGGCCGCGCGATGGGGCGGCGGGGCCGCGAGGAAGGGCGGCGGGGCCGCTAGGTAGGGCGGCGGGGCCTCGCGATGGGGCGGCGAGGCCGCGAGGTAGGGCGGCGGGGCCGCGCAATGGGGCGGCGAGGACGCGAGTAAGGGCGGCGGGGCCGCTAGGTAGGGCGGCGGGGCCGCGCAATAGGGCGGCGAGGCCGCGAGGTAGGGCGGCGGGGCCGCTAGGTAGGGCGGCGGGGCCGCTAGGAGAGAGGCGGCGGGGCCGCGAAGACGGGCGGCGGGGCCGCTGAGACGAGTGGCGGGGCCGCAGTGAAGGGCCGCTAGGGCGGCTCGACGGAGTGAGGGCCCGGAGCGCGACTCGGGCTGAGCGCGCTTCGGGCAGGAAAAAAAAAATCGATGTGGTGGGCCCTAAGCACAGTTCCCAAGGGGGAACCTGCTCGATACCATGAGAAGATTTGAACAAGAATGAATGAACTATGAATGAAGTGAGTACATATAGGAAACCCTAATTGGGTTGTACCCCCTATGGGATACCCCACTATAGCCTACACAACAGCATAAGCTATATATATGTTCTGACAGTCCGCACGTGCCGCTGAGTGGCGGGGGTAGCGATGAGTGGCGGGGGTAGCGATGAGTGGCGGGGGTAGCGATGAGTGGCGGGGGTAGCGATGAGTGGGAGAGGGTAGCGATGAGTGGGAGGGGTAGCGATGAGTGGGAGGGGTAGCGACGAGTGGGAGGGGTAGCGACGAGTGGGAGGGGTAGCGACGAGTGGGAGGGGTAGCGACGAGTGGGAGGGGTAGCGACGAGTGGGAGGGGTAGCGACGAGTGGGAGGGGTAGCGATCCTTTCTCCCTCGCTCTTAATGCGTTGTGCTCACAATGGACTGTTCTGTTCTGGTCGTTCTTAATCCCCTCTAATGCATATGCCCTCCCGTGTTGCGATGGTGGCGTTGGCAGGCGTACGGGTGAGGGGCGACCCAATGCGCATGCGCCGTGTGAACAGGCAGGCCTCCTCCTGGCGCTCTTCCTTCCTTGAGAACAGGGCTGTGAGCGCCTTCACTCACCTGATCCAGCAGTTGAGGCGCACCCGTGCATTGCAGTGCTAATGGGCTCAGCTCTTTTTTCCTTCGATGAGCGGCGGCGGCAGCAACGGGCGAGTGAGTTGCTGCCGCGTGAGGTGAGCCCATTAGCAACGGGCGAGTGAGTTGCTGCCGCGTGAGGTGAGCCCATTAGCAACGGGCGAGTGAGTTGCTGCCGCGTGAGGTGAGCCCATTAGCAACGGGCGAGTGAGTGGTGCTCCTGCTCCCTCACCTCACGCGCCGTCTCAACGTGGCGCTCCCCCGGGCCCCGGCACTCCCTCGCAAAGAGCCAGTATGGGGAGCATCTGTGGGGGAAAGCAAAAGAGTAGCAGCAGCCAGCGTGGCATGCGTGGCAGCAGGGGAAGGCAGAGGCCTGGCTCTCATATTCACTGACACAACAGGTTTATGCTTCCCATGCACCCGCACTCTTAGCACATTGGGCCCACAATCTTAGCGCATTGGACTCACAAACCACTGTTTCGCACATTCCCAATCCCTGCTGACTCAAAGGCCCGCCCGTGCATTGGCAGGCACGTGGGAGTGACGCCGACTCCATACACCGGGTGAACGGGCATACCTCCTCCGACTTGGAATGCTCTTCCTTCACCTCTTCAATCGCTGTGAGCACCTTCACAGAGATTGAAGAGGTGAGGAACGGTGAGAACGGGTGAGAAGGATGAGTATGTATTGGGGGAGCTGCGACTGGCAAGCGGGAATTACCTGCTGTTGTTCCCATCATCCCAAGCTCTTGTTTTCAAATGAGTAATTGTCTGGGGGCTAACCTTTCCCGCGCCGGCCTGACCCACTTGCCTTCCCACCCGTTCATTCCAGTGCCGACGGTTTCGACTATTTCTTCCCAACCACTAGCTTCTACTGATAATCCTCGCATCTGTGTGCTTTTTCCGCCAGGTATTCTTCATTCCGGTGCCAATGCTTTCAACCGTTTTTTTTCTCTCTCTCTCTCAGGGTTTTGCCGTGTTGTTATTTGCACCTGTGCTGCCCGCCAGGCGCTCCTCATTCTGGTGCCAACTGTTAAAAGGCCTTCATCCTTTTTTTTCCTTGGGGGTTTTGAGGAGCCTCAAAAGTCATTCTGGTGCCCATTGTTGAAAGGCTTTCATCCTTTTTTACCCTGGGGGTTTTGCCGTGTTGTTGTTTGCACCTGTGCTGCCCGCCAGGTGCTCTCTCGGGTGGACGCCCTGCGCAAGAGGGTGCTGAACGTGGGCAAGAACGCTGCCAGCCTCGTCAACGAGGTGGGTGCTGTGCGGTGCCCTGCTGCGCTGTGTTGGGCTGGGCTGGGCAAGGCTGCGCTGGGCTGGGATGTGTTTCCTGGCAGTAGCAGAAGCGCATAAGCTGCTTGTCATGGTGATGAAATAGTGTATTCACTGCACTGCTCGCCATTTGTCAACAGAGACGTCCCACCCAGGCAACAGCATCCAGCTGCTCACTATGGCAGCCATCGCCCATCTGCACCGCTCCTCCCCCATGTGTACCCACTGCTCTCCCATGTGCACCCACTGCTCTCCCATGTGCACCCACTTCTCTCCCATCCGCTCGTCCCCAGCGCAGCGCAACACCATTGAACTGCTCACCATAGCAGCCATCACCCGCCACTCCTTCTCGGGCTCCAAGGAAGCGATGCTAGTCTCTGCATGCTGAATGAGACGTTTAGGACCTTCAAGAGGGTAACCACGACCAGGATGGGTGCAGAGCAGAGCATAGAATGCCGAGAGCAATGGGAGTATGTGGAGCAGATTTTACCCAGGAGCCTGAAGAACCCAAACCATCCACTCATTAGTACGCTTCCAAATCATGTCTGTTGGCTGCTGTTTGGAATGATGGTCATTGATTATATTAGCATATGATAGGCAGCCCAAAACAGGCCCAACTCAACAGATTCAAAAAAAAGCCAGAAGAACTACTAAATTACTGCGGCATCTGCACTCCGTCCACACCGTGGATAACGAAAAACCTCCCTCTGAACAGCTTGGGGTGCTTGATTTTCGCCTTGCCCTTTCCGATGCGAATCTTCCTCATCCAACCCCCCAAGCCGTTCGGCGTCACAGTGACAGCCGCATCCACCTTGCGACCATTGTCATCCCGTAACACCTTGGCGGCAGCAATGTCTTTCTTCTCTAGTAATACCCCGTCAAGAATATTCGAACGAATCCACGAAGCATAGGAGCGAAGCTCTTGGCGCTTCAGATCCGGATTCACCATGTTGTAGATGGCATTAGGCGCCGCGGATTTGATTGCGCTGTCTTCGGGCAGCAGAACGGTTTTGCCGTCCGCTGAGGCGAGGAACGCGTCCGTTGGGTTCCAGTTGGTCTCTGAAGCACAGATGAAAAGCAAGAACAAAAACGAGAAGAAGATTTGAGAAGGTAGTAATTTCAAACATAAGTTGCTGCTGTGTTGTTTTTATCTCTTTTTTTTTGGAAAGGGGAGAAACAAATGTAAGAATTCCACAGAATAGATGAGTGCACCACGGTACCCAGTTGAGGGATGAGGCGATCAAGGAGCACGCTGCTGGCGCGATATCGGCCATTCAGTTTGGGGTTCTTGAGCGCGTCTCGGGCCTTCTTCACCTCCGCAATCAGCTGTCCCTTGCTGGGCCGCCGCGGCCTCGCCGCAGCAGGCGCCAGCAGTAAAACTAGCGTAATGGCAAGAACATAAATCTGTCGCGACATAGCCATGGTGCACGCACGGCTGGGGTTGAGAAGCTGAAATGTTTCGTCAACCTGCTGGGAGGAATATATATCCCCGTTCTGGTTTTTCTCAGGCACCTCCCATTCGTGCCTGGGTTATGCAAGGCGGAGGGCACAACCCAAGGCCGTCGACGCGGAAGCTCCATTCGCGTTGTGCTGCCACACTGAATCGAGTTTTCCCCCGTTCAGCTCCGAATCTGTGGGGTCATGTATAGTAGCCCAAAGAGATAGATTTATGTTTCTTATATTTCCAAGACATTATATTGATATCAAGAAATGTCGGCTTTGAGGGTAGTACGGCTGATTCTTTCATCTTTGAGCACCCGGCCCGTAGCATTCACGCAAAGAAACGTGTGGGTGTTGGAGGCTATATTGCACCTTCGCTGACTAGAACGCAGCAGCTTTTGCCCGTGACGGAATTTCTGAAGACATTGGGAGGAGTTTCTATACGAAAGAGTTTGCGAGTGGTGACAAGCTTCGCAGCCAATACGAGTAGATTTTTCGGCTTTGTGCGGAAAACCTTCACATCAATTTCGTGAGAGCTTCCAGGGAGTTCGCCACAGCGCGGAAGACCTCATTTTTGCTGGAGGTCCGTCTGTTGCGGCCAGGTGAATGTCCGCATTCCCTTCAGGTTTCGCATCAGAGTTTGCCATGGCGCGAGAAATTTCAGATGGGGTAACTTTGCAGAACGCAGGGCGGGGGGTGGGGGGGGGGGTCGTTCAGGTGAGTAGGGTTACTGTCGCCGCAATCGTCGAGTCGATACTTCGGCCCTACAAATGCGTGAGAACATAATGGCGACTGTACGCGTTATTGAGCCCCATGCTGAATTTCTCATATTCACCCTAAAATCTTTCACTTACCGTTCCCACAATCACTGGCTGGGCCTCGTCCCATTTGTAGCAGTGTCTCTACGTCCAAGTTTACGCTTTAGTGAAACATTTCGCCCATCCCAGAGGTCGCGCGCTTCGTCGATCTGTCAGCTTCACAAGAGCTGCCAAGTCGCCGCGCATTGATGTGCACTGCTCACATGCCGCCACGTGGAGCGGACGCTAGCGTCGCCTTCTTGGAACCGGATTAGAAGTCGAAACCTAAAGGCACTCAATTCAGAAATGCTCGCGCTCGAAGCTATCGCTGGGCAACACGTGTCCCTTGGCGACTCGTCAGCGACAGGCGATTTCTCCCTCGTTTCGACCTCGTCGGTGTTGTCCCCATCGCCGCGGACGTCGAGCGTCTTTTACGCGATGTCGCCCGGCGACGAGCGATTCACAGAACGCCGTGCACGATGCGACAGGTAGCGCGTCACGGCGGTGCTGGCAGAGATGGGTAGCGTGTGTTGATCCTTTCTCCCTCGCTCCCTCACTCCTAAACCTATCCCACGACTTTCGCTTCCCTTCCCCCTCCCTCGTTCCCACTCGCGCTGCGGCACGCCAAGCATGTGCGCGCGAGCAGAGGCAAGCGGCAGCGTGGCGTGGTGGGCTCGTTCCCACGTGATGAGCCGGGGGGGCGGGAGGGGAGGTGGGGTTTTATGATGAGCGACTGGTGATCCTTCCTCCGTCCTCCCTCGCTCTGAGCGCGTTAGACACACAATTGATTGATTGATCTGGTCGGACTTAATCCCCACTAACTCAAAGGCCTTCCGGTGTTGCGATGGTGGCGTTGGTGGGGGTATGGGGGTGAGGCGAACCACTGCGCATGCGCCGGGTGAACATGCTTCTGCAGCTCAACAGGCCACCTCTCTGTGCTCTTCCTCACGCCCTGGGTTGTGAGCGGCTTCACCCACCTGGACCAGCGGTTGAAGAGGTGGCGGCAGCGACGGGCGAGTGAGTGGTGCTCGGTCATGCAGCGCCGTCTCAACTCAACGTGCTGCTCCCCCGGCACTCCCTCTCGGAGCGGTGCCGTGCATCCGAGTGGTGATTGATGGTGGGTGGCTTGGGGAGGGGAGGGTGTATGGGGTGAAGGGACGGGGTTGCGCGGGTGGGTGTGGGGGGAGGGGGAAATGGGTAGCGTGTGGCATGTGTGGCATGTGTGGCGTGTGTGGCATTTGTGGCATTTGTGGCATGTGTGGCATGTGTGGCATGGGTGTCATGCACATTTTCTTCTTGCTATATTCCCGCCTTTCCCTCACTCCCTTACCCCGTTCTCTCCTACCGCTCACATGCTCTCTCATTACACGCCTTTCCATTTCCCACTCAACTTCTCCCTCAACCATTCCCGCTCTGCCATCCCTTCTTCCCAGCTCCAACTCCTGCTATCTGAACCCTCACCAACCCTTGAACCTAAAATTGGTATGGCACGTGCGTGGGTGCGAGCGTGGGTGTGTGGAGAGATGTGTGTGGGAATCCAGCTTGCATTTGTTGGCACATCGCTCACATTGCCTGTCCCTCCTATTGCCCTCTCCCTCTCATTGCCTCTCCCTCGCATTGCTTCCCTTACCTACTCATCACTCCCCCATCCCCTTGCCTCTCCCATTTATTCCCCCCTCATTGTCACTCAATACCAATGTACCCCGAGATAAAGACAAGATCTTTCAACCGCGTGTGGATAGACGTGTTTTTCAAACGTGACCTGCCTGCTGCTGCTGCCACGGGGGAGAAAGGATCCAGTGCAAGCAGGTTGCAGCAAGACAGGAGGCAGCAACAGCAGTGCTGCAGGCAGCAGCGCTCGAGACAGCAGTCCTCTTGCTGCAGGACAAATGCATGGAGAAGAGCCAGTGCGGGGAGCATATGCGGGGGAGAGCATCGTAATAACAGCAGTATGCGTGGCAGCAGTTGAAGGCACATGCATCGCAGGGTAATGCAAAGGCATGGCAGGGGAATGCAAAGGCGCAGCAGGGGAAGGCAGAGGCATGGCAGGGGAAGGCACAGGTGCTGATGTGGAGTGGAAACTCCACTTCATGCTTCAGTCTCAGCCTGCTCCGGTTCTTCCTTACACAAGACGCTTTCTCCCACATGCACCCTCACTCAACCATGTTTCCTACAGGTGCAGGCCATTCATTGGTTGCTGTCTCATCCTCTCTCTTCCCCCGTGTACAATCTCAGAAAGCTTCTCCCCCACTGCACCCGTGCCTCTGTGCCAGTTGGTGCACGCCATACAGGCCATGCTGTGTGCGTGCTCCCTTGCATCCGCTCACTCATCCCCGCCTGCACCGCTTCTCGCCCCGCCCGCTGCTCCTCCCTCACAAGTCCTGCCGCCAACTCAAGCTGCACACAAGATCAAAGGCGCATGACATAACCTAGGATGCCCTAAGTTTTCTGTTTGCATCTCACCTCGTTAGAGCAGTTAATCCGCCCATAAGCTTATTAGCATTGGAATTGTGCTGGAGGGAAGCCGTGCATTGTGGTGATGACGGTGCCACGTTTGCCACTTCATTCTATTGCGATGTGTCACTACAAACATATTTTTTCAGCCAAGCACAATACAACACTAGTTTCAAGCCTAGCACAATACCGTACAAACACAATTTTCAGCCAAGCACAATACAAACACACTTCTTGGAGGGATAGATAGAGCAGCATTGAGACAACCCGCTGGATTAGGGAGAGGCACCATTTTACACAGACTTGGTGCGAAAGGAAAATAGCGGAACTGGTAAAGCGCTCAACCGCTTGATTTTACTCTTCCGGCTGCGACGCGTCGACGCCATGGATGGTGAGAAACTTGCCCCTGAAAATCCCAGCATGCTTAATCTTAGCCTTGCCCTTTCCAATCGCCACCTTCTTCGACTTGGTCGTCGCGTCCACAATCTCATCCGTACTCACGCTGCCGCCATTCACGTTCTTCAGATTTGACGCCTTCGCGAGGTCGTCCTCCTCGTACGCGCCGTCGAGCATCTGCGCACGGAAGAGCTTGGTGTAGGGGTCGACTTCGCCGCGCCTCATGCCGGCTTTCACCATCATGGCGAGCGCGTCCGGGGCTTTGGAAGCAATTACGGTGTCCTCGGGCAGCAGCATGGTTTTGTGGTCGACCTTGTTGAGAAAATCCTCATTCGGGTTCCAGTCGGTCTCTGCACAATCGCGAAGAAAACAGAACCAGTGTTAAGCCAAGGACATGATAACGAAATTCAGCACGAAATAAAAGCCAGAGAACGAAGCGAAAGCGGCGTGCATAAACTTGCAGAAAATGCGGCAGGGTTTACCCAGTTGAGGGATGACGTGGTCAAGGAGCGTGTGGGTGGCGTAATATTTGTTGTTCAGCTTGGAATCCGCAAGCGCGTCGCGGGTCTTTTTTAATTCGTCAATGAAGTCCTCCTTGGTAGGCCGCGCCTCAGCAGGCACCACCAGTGACGCGAGCATGCAGAGGGCGAGAACGGAAAGCTGCCACGACGCCATGGCGCGAATTGAAGGTAATCCTGAAACTACCGTGATTGATCGTGTGAGGGACTATTAGCGTTGAAAAGCCAAGTGAAGAAACGAATGTCTGAGTAGAAATTCGAACTGGCTGGAATTTATGGTTGGACGGAATGTCTCGCACAATTACTCGTGGTGGTGAAATCCAGTTGGGAGCACGTCGCTATTATGACAAAAAAGACCGTGCGCAATTTCGCAGCCAATCGGATTATAATGTTTAGCCTCGTTAATTCGCCGCAGCGCAGAATGTTTCCTGCCTATTCCAAAGCGGCCAGGAGAAAGGTTCGCAGCTCCCTGCCACCCTGCGCTTTTGTCGCAGCAAAATTCGGCAGAGCTTGGGGGGAGGGTCCAGGTGTGTTGAGAGTAATCCGGGCAGGGCTTTTACTATGATTTTTCCCAGCACAGGCGGTGTGGGCACCTCTGAAAAACGCCCTGTAAAATTGGAGGGGCTTGCTAGCTGGCATATGCTCACAGCTTGAGTGTTTAATTGCCAAGGAAGCTACGTGCTGCCAGAATGTTTTATTGCTACCGCCTGTATGTGCTCCCCCTCTCGCCAGGAGTTTGTTGCCGCCCCAATGGCACCATGCCGTTCAAAAAAATTACCTCTGGAAGGGCGCGATACTGTGCGACAGGTGTGCCGGA